GTGTTTGTATATATACATATATATATGTATATATATTAACCAATATGACTACATTGTTCTATATATTTATATAATAAGACATATGTCTTTGGTTTTCTTAGATAGTGGAAATGCTACAAGTTATCATCGACTATACTGATAAATTATAGCATAATTGAATCTGGAGTAAGCAGGCGTTTAATTTCCGATGGACATACCTTTGCTCGCCATTTCTCTGAAGTGGTGTTGTTTACGCTTTCTGTTAACACTCTGTAATGGACACAACAGTTAAGCTGGCATGTATAATATACGAACAAAAAAATCAAGTAGAAAGTATATATTTATACATATTTTGTGATCTATATATATATCCCATCATACTTTTTTTAAACAAACAGGATAGCTTCGAATCGTACAACCCAATATTCTTGAGTTTGGTCCAATCATAATTGTATGGACAGCTGGCTTGAGGGCAGGCAATGATCTTAGAAAAGGTAGTCATCGTTTTTACATTCAGCCAATAAAATGTATATTTGAGAAGCTATGAATAAAGCTACAATTTTTTTTTAATGTGGTTTTCCTGCCGTGCAACCAGCTTTTTTTGTTTCCAAATACAACTACTTACCAAAAAAAAAAAGCATTTTAAAAAAACAATTTTAAAAAAAACAAAGAAACCATAGCCCTTTGTTACTCTTTTAATTTTTTCTATTTTTAAAAAAAAGGAACCATTTTTACCAAAAAAACCCAGCTTTTTTTTCGCTCTTGTATTTATATTGACAACATTTGACATCCGACACGATTAAACTGGTAAGTAGTAGCTGGTAAGTAGTAATGCTTCAATGTCTACCAAAAAGACTAAAGTGCAGTACTAGCCTCGCTGTACCTATGCAGCGCCAAGTAGCCAACTGCCATGTAGAAGTTTAATCTATGCCCTTCAGCAACAACGATCAAACTCAGATCCCTCATACGAAATGAGCACATTCACAATGAAGTTGGCATCGGGTATTATTCTGGCTTTTGGTTCGTCCGTGCTAGCTACCTCAGCAAGACTTCACACGGGAGCTGCGCTTGGCGAGGTCGAACACTGGTCCAATACTGTCGGCGATCTACTGAATAGACCGCACCCTGCCGCGGGAAAAGTCGATCCCAAGACGGTAAGTACCGGTAAGGTTTGGTGTGATGGATAGTTTGAAATGTTCTTGACTTGTTTAAATCGAATCCTTCATTCCTTTGAACGTGACATCGTTGGCACCCATTGCCGGGATTGCTGAACGATGGATCTCGGGCTTTCAACGGGAGATATTACTTCTGTATTGTGATACAAAGTACAAAGTACCTAGTATGACACTAGTGTTTTGTAGTAGTGTAGGCGACCTCAGGTGCTGTCAATACCTCCAAGATAATTCACCTTTATATTATACACCATGTCGCATCTCGCAGGATTGCGATGAGTTGTACTATGATCAACCAGTCGATCACTTCAATTACAATGACGGGAGAACCTACAAACAGCGCTACTTTTCCTGCAAGCCAGAGTACTGGTCCGAAGGAGGTCCTATTTTCTTCTACACTGGAAACGAGGTACGTACAGTGTCTGTTTTTATATTAAGTTGCTGCTCGTTACTTTCTTCTTGACAGGCTCCTGTTCTTTACTGTGAACTCATCTGTAGTATTAAATCCTCCAGGCATCTGTGGAGCTCTATGTGAATAATACCGGAATCATGTGGGAGAACGCCCAGGAGTTCGGTGCCTGGATGGTCTTCGCCGAGCATAGGTGTGATGTCATCGGGTTCATTTTTT